GTTGATGATGCTGATATTGCTGATGATGATGGTGTCCCGACGATGCTGATGTTGATGGTGTTGTTCATGATGATTTTGATGAATTGATGATGATGATGGTGGTGCTCCGATGATGATGATGATGATGATGATGATGACGGTGTCCCGATGACGATGGCGTTGATGATGATGATGGTGACGGTGATGGTGTTCCGATGATGGTGATGCTGATGGTGATGATGTGGATGATGATGGTGATGATGTGATGATGATGGTGGTGTCCCGATGATGATGATGGTGATGTTGATGACGTTGATGACGATGATGGTGATGCTGATGGCGTTGATTGCGAAATTGATTGTAATCTCGATCGTGAGATCGATAATGATGTCGAATGTGAGATCGATTGTGAGATCGATAGTGAGATCAATAGTGATATCGGTTGTGATGTTGATAGTCAGATCGATTGTGGGATCGATCGAATGAAATAGATCGAGTGAGATCGATTGTGAGATCGATCGGGTGATATCGATCGAGCGAGACCGATGGTGAGATCTATAGTGAGACCGATCGAGTGAGACGTTGATTCCTCCCCCCCCCGAACCTCCTTATCACCCGAAGGGTGGTCGTGTATTCCTCTTTCTAGATTTACCTAACAGCTTGTGCTGATAGGCTTCTAGTAGGGTCAAAAGAGAGCATCATGACACTCCAGGGGGGTCCGGGCGGAAGCCGGCAGAAACCGGGAGAATCCGGCGGAGCTCATTCCGTGCGTGCAGGTACGCACGGGAGCCACCTCGGCGCCATCGGAGGTGCGTTCCGTGCGTGGCAGGTACGCACGGGAACCACCTCGGCGCCATCGGAGAAGCGTTCCGTGCGCGCAGGTACGCACGGGAGCCACCTCGGCGCCATCGGAGGTGAGTTCCGTGGGTGCAGGTACGCACGGGAACCACTTCGGCGCCATCGGAGGTGCGGCTGAGGCTGAGGCAGGCTGAGGCTGAGGCTGAGGTTGAGGCTGATGCAGGCTGAGGCTGATGCAGGCTGAGGCCGCAGGAGTATGCGGGAGCGCAGCAGGCTGAGGCTGAGGCAGGCTGAGGCTGAGGCTGAGGCTAATGCAGGCTGAGGCTGAGGCGGGCCGAGGCCGAAGGGGTATGCGGGAGCGCAGCAGGCTGAGACCGACGCAGGCTGAGGCTGAGACTGAGCCTATGCAGGCTGAGGCTGAGGCAGGCTGAGCTGACTTGTCCTGTGGAGCTCCAGTGCCGCAGAAGATGCATCTGTAGCTTCCTCGTCGCATTAGGGGCTCCAGCGTCACCGAAATTGTCCTTTTACCGTCGCTGTCGTGCCGCGGGGCGCTTCAGCGGGCAATCATGCGCATGAAGTACGCCACGCGCCTGCGCGCTCACGAAGAGGGCCAGGGCGCCCTGTCGCCTGCGGGCGACCGCGCGGGCTTGCCCCCGCAACAGCCAAAAAGGGCATGCCCACGCGCCGGGTAAAGCCTAAAAGGGCTTTCGTCTGCCTGTTCCTTGCCTCCCGCTCTCCTCCTTCTTCTTTCATCACGTCAGAACCCCCGCCCCCTATGACGCTCCCCGGTGGCTTGGGTGGTCTACTCAGGTCGCGAGGGGGGATAGGGGGGGGGGTCGTTGCCACGGCTGGTGCTTCGTTTTCACGACGGGGAGGGGGGGGGTGCACCGTTCCCTCGGATGGGCACATCCCCCCCTCCAGGGGCCTCGGAGCCCTCCGTATCCGTCCTTTCCTTCTCCTCTCCTCCTCGGACTTCAACGCCTTTGGCGTCTCCGACGACCCCCTTGGGGAATAGTAGTAGTAGTAGTAGTAGTAGTAGTAGTAGTAGTAGTAGTAGTAGTAGTAGCAGCAGTAGTAGTAGTAGTAGTAGTAGTAGTAGTAGTAGTCGTAGTAGTAGTGGTAGTAATATTAGTAGTAGTAGTAGTAGTAGTAGTGGTAGTAGTAGTAGTAGCAGTAGTAGTAGTAGTAGTGGTGGTAGTGGTAGTAGTAGTAGTAGTAGGAGTAGTAATAGTAGTAGTAGTAGTAG